TYTAAYSGWACGGCKMCCWCCRRRRTCYACACATGCCGGTCGTTTTGACATCTCAAAGGAACAGCAAATAGCAAGCGCATTCGTCTGAGATACTTCTGGCACGACAGGAAATGATGCCAGGATGTCTGAAGCGTACAATCCTCGACAAAACATGCACGCACAAATAGTTCAGCCGTGGGATGCGCCCTCGCCTCGCTCAAGATCATACACTCCACCTTCAAGCTCCCGGAACGGGAATGGAAACGGCCATCAGAATGGACTCGACACTTCTTGCGGCCACGAGATTCAGACTCCGGCCACTCCGCCGATAACAGCCGAGGATGAGAAGCTATGGCGCGACCAGGAACTAAATGCCAAGATCATGCAGCAGGTCGAGCAGAATGGCATTACACGCCCCAAAGGCCATACAGTGTCATTCCATTATTCCAGCAGAGTGGAGGATATGCATTTTGGTCGCACTCATCCAATGAAGCCCTGGCGACTCAGTCTAACCAAGCATCTCGTCCTCGGCTACGGACTACAATACTCCATGGACACCTACGAAGCAGTGTCCGCTGGCAAAGACGAAGTATGTCAATTCCACGACCCCGAATACGTGGAGTTTCTGAGCAAAGTATCACCGGGAACATTCGATTCTCTGTGTCAACTCCCTCAGTTCTCTCGCGCTATTCCTACAAAACATGAAGGCGACTCGGTGGAGTTGGGACCATTCAACCTGTCTACCAGCCCGGGAGCGGATTGTCCCGTTTTCGACGGCATGTCGCAGTACCTGTTCCTCTACACAGGCGCAACATTGGCCGCCACTCACAAACTGACGACTGGCCAATCTGACATTGCCATAAACTGGAGCGGAGGTCTCCACCACGCCCACAAAGCTGAAGCATCGGGTTTCTGCTACATCAATGACATTGTGCTCAGTATTCTAGACATGCTCAGAATCTATCCTCGAGTCTTGTACATTGACATTGATGTGCATCATGGAGATGGCGTGGAAGAAGCGTTCCAGCGCCAGGCGCGAGTCATGACCTTGTCGTTCCATCGCTACGGAACGTACGATGATACGGGCCACAAATTCTTCCCGGGAACAGGAGACAWTGAAGATATTGGTCTCAAGGGCACAACTGGCGAGCATTTTGCATTGAACGTGCCCATCAACAGTGGAATCGACGACAGACAATACAAGTATCTCTTCGAGGAGGTGACAGGCCGGACGATAGACGCCTTCAAGCCAAGTGCAATCGTACTTCAATGCGGCGCAGACAGTCTTGGCGGTGACAGACTTGGCCAATTCAACATCAACATCCGCGCGCATGGAGAGTGCGTGTCTTTTGTCAAACGGCAAGGCATACCCTTGCTAATACTAGGGGGCGGAGGCTACACGGCCAGAAATGTTGCCCGCGCATGGTGCCACGAAACAGCACTGGCCACCAATAATGTTCTTCCAGAGTCCATCCCAATGGACATTGTTCCGCGACCAGAGGCGTTCATGGGGAGGGCACATGGAGATGGGAAGATGTATCCCGCCTTTGACAGATTGCACAAGAACGAGTGCAAAGACTATGAACTGGAGGAAAAGGTCAAGAGATTGGATGCCGAGCTGAGATATGTCAGAAATTCGCCATGGGTCAAGATGGAGCAGCTGCCTTCCATGAACCAGATGCAGGAGATAATGGACCACGTGGATGAGGATATGAAGAGCATGAATTTAGACCCTGAACGAAGAAAGAAGGAAAGGAATCCCGGTGGCAGAGGCGAATTGCGATGATCATTGGTGGAAGAGTGGGATGTATGTGTCGGGTCAAGCGAATGAGCCAAGCGAATGAGCATGAGGTACAGCGAAGCCACCAAGTCGGCGACATACGTGGTTGGTTGTTGCCAAGTTCGAGCAAGCGATGAGCGATCCATGGCACAGGCACAGACATGTCAAGTACGGAATCGCTGCAAGCTTCAGCCACACTTGCTGTCTCAACCGCTGATGGGAGGTCGCCACTCTGTACCTTGGTGGAAAGAGCTGGCGTTCCTCGCAGCTTCTTCCAGCTCCTAGCGGTCTGGAGGATATAATTTCACTGGCCTGTGTGGCACAAGTAGATTTCGTAATCGTGTGTTGTTCGCGGCAAAAGAACCAGCCGCAAAACTCGTACGATAGATCTGGGCAGTTATCGCGTGCGCCACCCGCACTGCGCGTCTCGTCTAGATTGAGTTGCCGAATTCGAGATGCTGCAGGGCACTCGCATGCATGATGTCGTGCTGCTCTACAACGAATTTAATTGTGGCTGTCACCGTGAACACTCGTCTGCTCACTTTCTTATTATTATTACACGTTCCCTCAATTGTCCTACGACTTGTTATACCCACTCGTCGAACCTAGATAACACGCGGCCATCGCAATTCCTAAAGTGGAGCTTGGTGACCTTGAATTGAGTTTAGTTTGGTGGAAGTCCGACTTGCGCACCAATCAGACGAGGACAGCGCGGTCTGGGAGCGGAAAATTGTCGGCGGTGTGAAGAAACAGGGGACCAGAGAAGGCGGTATCGACAGGTCGATAAGGATTGAATATTTGTCTTGAAGGATTGACCTCAACTGTTTCTTTGTGTTCGTCGAGGAGGATATCGTCTTACGATTGTTCCAGAGCTTCGACCACCGATCGGCAAAGGAACTTGGATTTTCGGAAACTTGATTGACGAACAGGGGCCCAAATTCCGAACTTGGGTGAGAGACGACGCGAACCCGAAAATATTCTACGGAGAACTGGAGGAAAGGAAGAGGAAGACGAAGAGCCGCCATTGGGAAGGAGGGATGCACTTTCGTGACTGCCTGACTTAGTCCACCTTCACGCCATTGCCTCTGGGCGATTGTACCTACGCATCCTCTCCTACCGACCTCCGTTCACCCCAACCCGCCGCCGCCGCCATGCTGGGTTCCTCGCTCATTCCCACGCGCTGGCGACGCAACCACGACATCACCGCCGATCCGCCCGCTCCTGGCTATTACAACACCCTCGTCACGCCTCGTTTGCAGYACATTTCGCTCAAAGCCTGCACACACCCAATCCGCACCATCTGCTTGGTGGCTGTGCTGGGATCCGTCTTCTACGTCAATCTTCTCGAGACGGGCTTCTTCGTGCCCAATGCTGCGAGGGATGGCGCGAACAGAGTCGATTTCGCCGCATTGTCTGCAGGAAGCCGCAAGCTACATCTTGGTCCAGAGACGGCGTGGAAATGGCAGGTGGAGGAGAATGGCGGGAAACAGCAAGGTGCAGAGGATATTACTTTGATCACACTAGATTTCTTGGAATCTGGAAACAACTCGCCCAACGTTGCACCGCAGAAGTTGGTCTTGCCAAAGGGTAGTGCGGCCGAGCTTGTGCCCTCGAGTGCCAACATTCTCTCCCCAATCTCCAGCGACACCACCCTGGCCTTCTCCGTTCCATTCGCCGAGACCGCGCAGTTTTTGGAGAGCGTCAAGGAAATTCCMGACACTGCGGAGATAGCCACACCTGAAGATGTCGACGACACACCGGAGAGGAAGCTTTGGCTGATGAAGTCGGCCAAGCAGCCCAATGCCTCTCAGGGTTGGTTGGAATGGGCGCAGAACTCATGGTCAGCCTTTCTCGATCTGATCAGGAACGCCGAGACTCTCGATATTATCATCATGTCTTTGGGATATCTGTCCATGTACTTGACCTTCATCTCGCTCTTCCTCAGCATGCGACGCATGGGCTCCAACTTCTGGCTGGGAACTACCACCCTCTTCTCCTCGGCATTTGCTTTCCTTTTCGGTCTGTTGGTCACAATGAAGTTGGGCGTGCCCGAGAATGTGGTCCTCCTTTCCGAAGGGGTGCCATTTATGGTCGTGGCTGTAGGCTTCGAGAAGCCAATCATGCTCACTCAGGCTGTCCTGTCCGCCGCCGTGCAAGCCAAGAACGGCAATTCTATTCAAACTGCCGTTCAAACTGCTGWACGCGAGCGTGGTTTCGAGATTGTCCGCGACTATGCCATTGAGATTGCCATCCTTTGCGCTGGTGCTGCGTCTGGAATCCAAGGTGGTTTGAGGCAGTTCTGCTTCCTTGCAGCTTGGACACTCTTCTTTGACTGCATTCTTCTCTTCACCTTTTACACATCAATTCTCACCATCAAGCTGGAAGTCAACCGCATCAAACGTCATGTCTCCCTGCGCAAAGCGCTGGAAGAAGATGGCGTGAGCCGTCGTGTGGCCGAGACTGTTGCATCAAGCAACGACTGGCCGAATGGCGAGAGCGTTACTCAGAGTGGGGAGAACAGCATCTTCGGAAAGAAGGCGAGAAGCAGCAGCGTTCCTCGCTTCAAGGTTTTGATGGTGACTGGGTTCATCATGATCAATGTGCTCAATCTTTGCTCCATGCCATTCCGTGGGACAAGGAACAACTCACCTGTAACAACCGCCGGCCTCAGCAGTGTTGTGACGCAGCCTCCCATGGACCCCTTCAAGGTGGCCGGGAATGGCCTGGATTACCTGTTCGCTCAGGCGAAGAGCAACAACCAGCCATTGACTGTGACTGTCTTCAACCCGATCAAGTACGAGCTGCAGTACCCTTCAGTACACTACTCTCCTCCTCAGCAGACGGAATGGTCACTTTTCGAAGGCGACTACCAGAGCGGCCTCTTCTCATCCTTTCTGGGCGGGAGGATGGTGGAGAGCTTATTGAAGAGCTTTGATGATCCAGCGCTCGGCAAATGGGTCGTCATCGCACTTGCGCTCAGTCTGGTTCTCAACGGCTATCTGTTCAATGCCGCGAGATGGAGCATCAAGGAATCCGAAGAAGACAGCAAGACAAACGGTCACGCCATTCCCCCGGTTGTCGCGGTGGAGCCCGAGAAGCCTCTGCCAATGCCTGATCTCGAGCCAGCTGCCCTTGACGGATCTCGGGTCCGCACTGTCGAAGAGGTCTCCGCTCTCCTCGCGGCGAAGAAGGCTCCTCTCCTCAACGACACCGAGCTCATCGACTTGGCACTCCGTGGTAAGATCCCGGGGTACGCATTGGAGAAGACGCTCGAAGACAAGACTCGCGCGGTCAAGATTCGCCGCGCAGTCATCTCCCGCACTCCTGGTACGAGGGAGCTTACCGGGAAGCTGGAGAACTCAAAGCTTCCTTATGAACACTTCGATTACGATCGTGTGCACGGCGCTTGCTGTGAGAACGTGGTCGGCTACCTTCCACTTCCACTCGGTGTCGCTGGCCCTCTCACTATTGACGGTAAAAGCTATTTTCTCCCCATGGCCACCACAGAAGGTGTCCTTGTTGCCAGCACATCTCGGGGTTGCAAAGCTATTAATTCTGGCGGTGGAGCTATCACAGTTCTCACAGCAGATGGCATGACCCGAGGACCTTGCATTGGATTTGAGACACTCGCTCGAGCAGCCGCAGCCAAACTATGGATCGACTCCGATGAAGGATCAGGCATGTTGAGGAAAGCATTCAACTCGACCTCGAGATTTGCAAGATTGCAGACGCTCAAGGCTAGCATTGCAGGCACATATGTGTATGTGCGATTCAAGACGACTACTGGAGATGCCATGGGAATGAACATGATCAGCAAGGGAGTCGAGGAGGCCTTGAGGTGAGTAAAGAGCATACGATTTTCGCAGCTAGAACTGACGCCCGATACAGAGTCATGCGCGCTGAAGGTGGATTCTCCGACATGGCCATCATCTCCGTCAGCGGCAACTTCTGCACAGACAAGAAGTCCGCAGCGATCAACTGGAYTGATGGCCGAGGTAAGTCCGTTGTCGCAGAAGCTATTATTCCAGGAGATGTAGTCCGCAGCGTATTGAAGAGCGACGTCGATGCGCTTGTGGAGTTGGTAAGTTGAACAACACTGTCAGACTTGGAGGGAGTCATGCTGACATTGAGTAGAACATCTCCAAGAACCTCATTGGCTCCGCCATGGCTGGCAGCATCGGTGGTTTCAATGCTCACGCCGCCAACATTGTCGCAGCAATCTACCTCGCAACCGGCCAAGATCCCGCACAAGTCGTCGAATCAAGCAGTTGTATCACCGTCATGAAGAACTTGAACGGTAATCTTCAAATCACCGTCAGCATGCCTTGCATCGAAGTGGGTACGATTGGTGGTGGAACGGTTCTAGAACCTCAAGCCGCCATGCTGGATCTACTGGGCGTGAGAGGACCGCATCCGACTACGCCCGGAGCGAATTCGCAGCAGTTGGCGAAGATTATCGCGGCGGGTGTCCTCGCGGGAGAGCTGAGTCTGTGTTCTGCGCTGGCGGCGGGACATTTGGTTAAGGCGCATATGAGCCATAATCGCAGCGCGGCGCCTAGCGTTGTGGCTAGTCGGGCTGGGAGCCCGGTTAGGCATAAAGGGTTGGAGATGACGAAAAGGTAGATTTTCTCGAGCGAATGGGGATGAGCTTTTCGTTTGGTGGATGAGGATGGAGAGAGGCCAAGTGTATATTGATGAGGCGAGTGTAGATATAGACGCCGACCTATCTACATTTTCCCCAAAGCTTTCCCACCATCTTAGTTGCAGAGGAAAGAGAGGGAGTGGTGTGTATGCCTCCAAAGTCTGCAAGCACAAGACGTTTGTATCGAGGCATAGACCCGGCCTTGAATGACAGTCAGTCCCACTTGATATTCAATGGTGGGCAGTGGAAGAAAGATTTCTCATCAGCATATTCGCCTCTCACCACCATAAAATAAGTAGATAGCAAGCACATTATTTTGCACTTGCAGACACCCGACAGACGACCAAAGATACAACGCCACCCACGCCCACGCTAATTCCTCAATTCCATCCCGCCCCTTTCGCCGTCCACCTACCTGGATCGCCATCCCATCGCTCAAGACTAGACAGCCGGTCCGCCACCAACGTTATGACCGCCACCCATCATCTCAGTCGCTGCTTCGCCTTCCACATTCACCAGATCCCTCTCCCTCTCACCCTCTGCTCGGGCTTCTTCTTTCTTGGCGACTTCGGATTCTTCTGGCGCTGCGTCGCCCATTTCTGTATCTTCACCATTCTCATTTGCRGCAGAGGTTGGTGCGGCAGCAGCCGCTGTTGCGGCGGCGGGAGAGCGAGGAGGAGTGTTGATGCCCGCGGCGGTCGTGTCCACATCAAGATCCATGTCGTCGTTTCCAGATGCAGCAGTCTGTGGCGCAGCTTCATCCTCAGCTTTGGGGTCGACGGTGGAGGACGCAGCGAGGGTGTTAGCATCGCCTGGGCTTTTAACCTTGACCTCCACGTCCCCTTCCACCGCATCGGCCGTACCATCCATGCCAACGTCCTCTTGATCTGCATCTCCGTTCAGACTTCTTGAATCGTCATCAGCAGGTGTGTTGGCTCCACTTTGATCATTCGGCGCATGCGGGTTGATGTGATCCATGATTCCCCTCCGTCGCGGTTGCCCAGGCTGCCGTCTCACACCATTGGCAGTCGCAATTTCTTCATCATCACTCTCTTCAAACTCATCATCTCTTTCAACTTTGGCATCCCACATCCGTGAGGTATATCTCCGATCCTTTGAACTCTCGGCATCGGCGTCCTCGTCATCCAAACGGWCTTCTTGCTCTTCGAATGTTTCCGGCTCGCCCTCGGGACCGGCGTTGTTCATCCCCAGAGGCTCTCTCGGAACGTCCTGCATCTGCACACTCGGCGCATGCTGTGTGGTTCGCTTGAGGTTCTCCAGGACTTGATTCTTGATCTTCTCCAAGTACTCGGGGGAGTTTGCATTGTCCATGTTACTCGGCTTCACGTCAAGCTCGAAGTCAGGAGAGTAGTACTCATAATAATCGGTGAAGGGGAGATCAGGTCCCATCTCCACGCCTACCAGCTGACCGGTCTCGAAAGCCCAAGTACGGGCGACGTTGCGCATGGTGTAGCCTCCTCCGCCGAGGATGAGGGTGGGCAGGCCAAAGGACTTGACAAAGTTGACGCAATTGGCGTGGCCTCGCATGCTCAAGTTGAAGCATCCCAAGCGGTCTCCCGAAAGAGAATCTCCACCACATTGCAGCACTACTGCAGTCGGTTTGTAGTATTCCATGACCCAGCCGATGGTAGGCTCGAAGATGCCCTTGTAGGATTGGTCGTTGATGCCATCGCGGAGAGGGAAGTTCACGGCGTAGTTCTTGCCAGCGCCCACTCCAATGTCTCGCAGTTCTCCCGTGCCAGGGAAGTATTCGCCGTATTTGTGGAAGGAGACGGTCATGACGCGGTCGGTGGAGTAAAAGGCTTCTTCCACGCCGTCGCCGTGGTGGACATCAATGTCAATGTAGAGGACGCGGGGATGGAAGCGGAGGAGCTCGAGGATTCCGAGGACAATGTCTGCAGTATCGCCATGTCAGCACGAACCCAGGGATGGAGGGGGGAAGAAGGAGAGAATGTGGGACGCACCATTGATGTAGCAGAACCCACTGGCTTCACTCTTCTTCGCATGATGCAGTCCGCCCGCCCAGTTGACCGCGACATCACATTTCCCGCGGTTCAGTCTCGCCGCACCCTCCATGCTGCCGCCCGCGCTGATGCCACAAAACTCAAACAGGCCATCAAAAACGGGACAATCATCACCCACATTGTACCTCGACTGCTCCTTGGAGTAGGCGTCCATGTTGTCCGGCGTCACCTTTTGCAGGAAATCGACGTACTCATCCGTGTGGAACTGGGTCATTTCGTACTTGCTGGCGGGTTTGGCGCGGTAGATTTCCAGCTTCTTGTACAAGCCATAGTTCATGATCAGGGAATGCGCCATGCGGATTCGGTGGGGTTTCATGGGATGGCCAGCATTGTAAGCATAGTTTCCCACGTCGGAATCGTAGAAGTAGGCGACCTTCTTGGGCTGGGAGGAGACAGCATTGGTGCCGGTGCCCGGCGCATCGAGCTCGGTGTAGCCACCGGTTCCGGGAGGCATGTTGACCATGGTGGATGATGTTGGAACAGAAAGTTATTGAACCCAGGTCAGGTGCATAGTCGAGCTTTGGGGGAGAAGTGGCTGGATCACGGGGGGTTGTTGTTTCAAGCGTGCTGCACACGGAGAGGTGGTCTTTGAAGGTGGTGGATGGAGTTGAACCTCTGCAAGCCAAGCTGGAACATAGATTGGAAGCAATGCGCATCCATGGCCGATGACCGGCTTTCTTCATCTCTCTCGGCGCCAAAAGTCGTGGGGCGGGCGGTGAATTAAGTCCGAGCTCCTCCGCATCATCAGCTGAAGCTCCGCGTTCGCCTGTCCAATACCTCACATTCACGACCCATCTCCTCCTCCACTGTCACCTCCACCACCTTCCGACAGCGAAACACCGTCGACATCCATCTACACCCCATCGTCCTCCTCAGGACATCCCCCGCGCACGACCCACGCGCACGACACGAGTACAGCTCCTCGTATTCAACACCACACATCACATCACCATGGACCGGTTATCGAGAATGTTGGCTGCGGCCCAGGGCATGAGCGGCGGAGGCGGCGGACAGGCACAGGTAAGCACTGATAACAGCATTTCCCCCTTCCCAATCCCCAGCACCGTGACGTGATGAGATGCGATGCGATGCGAGCAATCTACCTGGGCAATGGACTGGAGTCGAGTCGAGGATGATGGAAGTGCTGGCTCTCTTGGTAGCGGGCATCAGAGAGAAGGATGGTCCAGCTGGAGCAAGGAAGGAGAGGAAGCGGTMGCGCGATCCAGTTCGAGAGCGTTGAGGTGCAGCGGAGTGGCAAAGGCCGTGCCGGCGATGAAAAGCAACACCCGCAGGTTTATGGAGGGAGGGGAGAGGCGATGGACCGATGAGAGGCGATGGCTGTCTCTGCCACCGAGTCTTCATGCCTGTGCGGCTTTGGGCACTGGGAGCAAGATCCGCCGAGCTCTCTTCTTGAACACAGGGAAAGGCATCGGAGATGCTGCCCGCCGATTGCAGACCCTCGACATGGGACACAGCAGACATCAAATCCTAGTGTTCCTGCGCACATAGCTGGCCCGTCATGGGCTGATGCGGCTCCGGTCCTCCTGGCTGCATACACATGCCTTCCCTCGGAGTGGATGTAGGTACTCTCTCCACCGGCGCCATCCTCAAGAAGCTGGACGAGTAGAAAAGGTCGCAACACCAGCATCGGCTCAGCCGCGCTGGACGCGACAGGTGCAAAGTGCAAGATGGGCTGGATCAAGGACAATAGCATCTCCACTCCGCGCAGATGCAGGATCGCATGAAGCTTCCAATGTCGAGAGGGTGCTGCGCTCGAGGTCCAGGAGACGCAGCATGAGCTGCCTCCAGTGCCATCTGAACGGTCCTCAACACTTTCTCATAACACACCTCTCCGTTCCAGCGTATCCTTTCACCAAAATATACCCACCCACAATGCTGCGGCGGAAAGAAGAGATGCGCAAGACGTCACTGTCCCGCGACAACGTCAATTGGCTCAAGGCAGTTCCAGAAGGCGAATAATCCTTGTAAGAGTTGCTTTGTCCGCAAATCTGGGCAAGCAGCCGGCCACACTGGAATCACCAAGCCCGCAGTCCAGATATTGGCTGCCTTGGATTCTGCGCGGTCGGTGGCCTTTTGTTTGGTGAAGCGGGACATACGTTCCTCGCCGACGGTGCTGCAAGCTTCATGCCGACCATGCATCCGGTTTACTCTCCTGGCTCTGTCCGTTCATGCTCCCTCCAAAGTCGTGGCTCCAGTCATACAATGGCTGCCGAGGACAGCTCGTGAGCTGGGGTTAGAGATCGCTCGTTCCGGCATCCTTCAACAATGTGGTCCAGCAAGCCCTGTGTGGTACAGCGCAAGGCAATGATTCCAGCGCGACCTTCGCGAAGTCGTATCGGTCTTCTGAGCTCCCCCGGTCCTCCAGATGCGCCATAGCTGCTTTATACACTCCGGTGGTTCCAACCTCGACCAAACCTCTTCGTGTATGAAGAGCAAAGTCTGGTCTTATTGTGCCAGTCGGCCTCCACCGGAGGTCGTCGCTGTGCACAACGACACTCACTTCCACTTGCGGTCGCGCAGGACAATGTGGCGACGCTCTTGGCGTAACTCTCGCGTTTGCAGGCCAGGTTCGTTCAGGACGCTTGCATGAAATCAGGCCAAGGAGGCAATTTGCAGTCCTATTCTGGCCAACTCCACGGCCCATCACGTCGTTTCGTTCGCCTGTTTTGCCTCAGCTTTGCTGCTCACCGAGGTACCACGGCCTCCGACTTGCTCAGACATTGATGTGAGAGCTCCGAGCTATAAGCGATGGCGCCGGTTCGAGGGATGCCTAGTGTGGCAGTTCTTCTGCAATTCTTTGTGTGGTCCGACAGTGCAAGTCCGGCGCATACTTTGGCAATGCGGAATATCGTATTGCGTTTGTGGTATTCAGTCACATTGCGAGCATCGATTAACGACCAATGTTGATGTCGCCATCGCAATCGACGCATTGGACTACTCTGTCGCCGGCAATCTGGGCATTCATCAATCTGGGCGGCAGGCCGGTGTCCAGCTCCATTGAGCACTTCAATGAAGTTTCCGCAGCTGCAGCATCGGCATTGAAGCGGCGATTCGGCAGATTCGGCATTCCCATCGCCCGCCGCTCCTGCTCTTCATGTCTCCCGTTCGCTGGAAGCTCCTTTGAAATCGGTGCGCCATGCGCCTTCTCGGTGATGATGTTGTTGTCACTGGGATCTGGGTTGTCAGCACTTCGCTTTCACCACCGACATCGACCCATCAAACTCGACTCGCCCGCCCACTCGACGGCCATCATGCCTCCTCATCGCATGCCTCTCCGACGTCCGCCATCAAGGCCATCGAATTCGGATCAATACTCCCCGAACTTCAACTAGTCTGAGGATCTCGCTGAAATCGATTCGATGTCAATTTCCGGTCCTCCCGTGACTTGGAATCAAGCATGCCTCAATGGCTTTCTCTGCCATGCCGAAGGCATGGAATGGGAGTATGTCAAGAATCATCTCTGTCGTGCTCTTCTTTCAGGGCAAACGGGTGGAATAGTATGTGGTTGTCGCGGTTGTCGTCGTCGTCACCCGTGCGGAGCTGTTTGGTGGGGTGGTTTTGCAGCACTTCTCCGACTTCAACAGCACCAGTTCAACAGTGTTCGTTTCCTCAACAAAGAACCATCGCAACACATCTTGGACATGGCATCAAACGGGCAGGGAGCCGCCGAGACTGTCCAGACTGTCTTGGATGTACTTCGTCCGCTGGGTCCCGAGCAAAATCCCGTGAGAAACATCGTGGCGCGTGGTCTGCTGGCAAGAAATAATGTAGGTGATGGTCGTTGTTGCGGTCACTGCTTCAGAGCCGGTCAGTGGCGATGCCCGTTCAAGTGTCAACTTCGACTTCAATTTCGGCCCCCGCAGCTCGGCGGCACCTTTCGCCATCGACTGACACCCATCCGCCGCCTGCGACAAATTGACAATGGCCGCCGACATTGCTCGAGATGCTGTTCAGGAGCGCAATGGACAACATCCATTGGCAGCACTCGATCAACTTGGCCCGGAACACAGCAGGTGGAAGGACATGTTCGCGCGTCGAATGCTCAACAGGCCGAATGTTGGTGATTTTTCCCTTCGTCGTTGTCGTCACCGGCGTGGACCTCCGCCGCTAGCGGTCTTCTGCAAGGCATCAACGTCAATTTCCACAGCTTTAGCGACTGTTGCTTGATTCTAGCAACAACCATCGCACAGCATATTTCCGCCAGAATGCCACCCAATGCACAACCAAATCCGGCGCTTCTGGCAACCGCGTTCGTCAACTATCAAACGTCAATGGGATTGCAGCAACTCGACAAAATGGGCCCCGAAGAAAATGCCTTGAAAGACCACTCGGCCACGGAGGTTCTCAAACGCAACGATGTACAACTCTCCACCAGGCCAGGCCGCTCTTCGTTCGCATCTAACTAACCGTCGTCTTGGCCACTCAATCGTTATGACTGATGATTCGCACTGTCCATGCTAACATCAATTTCCCAGGATTCGAGCATCGTTGACAATTCCGAGAGAGTCGACATCTCGGCTCTCGCTCTTCTCAAGATGCTGAAGCACGGTCGCGCTGGTGTTCCGATGGAGGTCATGGGCCTCATGCTGGGCGAGTTTGTCGACGACTACAGGGTCAAAGTTGTGGACGTTTTCGCCATGCCTCAGTCCGGTACCGGTGTCTCCGTTGAGGCCGTCGATCCGGTCTTCCAGACCAAGATGATGGACATGCTGCGCCAGACTGGCAGGTAAGCTTCAATCACTCCCCCGCTCTTGCTCCTCCGCAACACCTCACTGACACTTTCAACAGACCAGAGACCGTTGTCGGCTGGTACCACTCTCACCCCGGCTTCGGCTGCTGGTTGTCGTCCGTCGACATCAACACCCAGCAGTCGTTCGAGCAGCTCACTCCTCGCGCCGTCGCCGTTGTGATTGATCCCATCCAGTCTGTCAAGGGCAAGGTCGTCATTGACGCGTTCCGTTTGATCAACCCTCAGACTCTCATGCTCGGACAAGAGCCTCGTCAGACCACATCCAACTTGGGTCACCTCAACAAGCCCTCCATTCAGGCACTCATTCACGGTCTCAACCGTCACTACTACAGCATCTCGATCGGTTACACCATGACGCCTGTCGACGAATACATGCTCATGAGTGTTCACAAGAAGAGCTGGTCCGCTCCGCTCGTGATGGAGGACTTCGCCGTTCAGCGCAAGCGCACCAACGACAACATTCAGAAGCTGTCGGAGCTCGCCGGCGACTACCTGCAGAGCGTGACTGAGGAGCCCAACCTCACCGAGGAGCAGCTTCGCACTCGCTACGTTGGCAAGGTCGACCCCAAGAAGCACATTGCTGCTCTTGCGAAGGACGTCATGGAGGAGAGCATTGTCAACATCAACAAGATGCTGATCAACAAGGAGATTGGTGCGCCTTCTGCTGGTATTGGCCGCAAGATCCCTGGCACCTCGTTCGCGAAGCCCGGTCAAGCTCCGCACGCCTTCGGTGCTGCTCGGAAGGCGAAGGCGGCCACCGCTGCTGAGAACGGCGAGGCGGAGGGCATGGAGGTCGATGAGGAGTTGTAAAGGCTCTCTGGACTTGGTCGACTGTAAGGTTGACGACGAGTTGAAATTGATCTCTTCTCTCATGGAGGAGATGTGAAACGATCGATCAGAGTGTACTTCAAAGGCGCCTTCTTCTGCTTATTGCTGCATAGCCTACGGCGTTAGGCGCATGGTTCAATGGGCTGGCTGGATTGCTGATCATGGGGTGGGTATACCCTTCGAACAGGAAACGAAATCAAAAACGAGTTCTCATAGTCCCTTTCTCATGTTCATTCCGTCTGCGTCGTCGAAACATTCTACCTCTCTCTTCACCCAACAGCACTGAGTCTACRGCAAGAGAGTCATGCTGACCTCAAACTACCACCACCCCTTCTGCTCCCGCCGATCACCCCCCTCCTCTCCTTGTGGCTTCGTTAGGCTTGCGTCAACTCTAACCCTCTTAGAACCGCTGCATTCAGAAGCAATGGGAGCAACGCCAGCTGACTTACGGCGTACAATCTACTGGCTTTGCTGCCAAGCTCGCCTCCGAGGATGGCTTTGTCCTTCCCGAGCTAGGTATGTTCRCCTCCCCCCGGCATGTCTTCCAACACCTCCTTCCTTCCCTTTGGCGTCACTCGCACCAGCACTGAACTCTCCGATGGTCGAACGTCGCCGCATTCAGGGTACGTACGATGGAATGAGCTGACTTCTGGCATATGGTCGTCACGCTTTCTGCTGGTACTTAATTCTCATCGATTGAGTGGCATTGCTGAAGTCGATTCAGCGGAAGACTGTCCGTGGCCACTGCACCAATGAACTTCCAAGCGACTGGTCCCTGGGAGACACTCCGCCATGACAGGACGCTGTTCAAGCCAATCSACGTCCGCTGCCGTCCTTGTTACCGTTCCGTCTCCTTGTGTAGCTGTGCCATTCCTGCTGGCGTGCTCTCTCCACCGCGAGAGCGGGAATTGCCAGCGCTTGTCGACGATACCGAAGGTGCTGGACACTGGTCTATGGCTTCTGGTGCAAGATTGTGGTTGGTGCCGCGAAGATAGGCGACGCGTGCTGTGGCCGTCTGACCGAGTTGTCTTGGGTGARGGCTTGGAGGTRGCTTGTCCCTCCTTGTTCCGGGGATTTCTTGCGAGGCGAAGCATATTCTCCTTCCATCGAGCCCAGGGGAGCCGAGTACAGACGTGGCTTTGGCGTCTCAAGGATCGTTTGGCTGGGACATGGTAACAGTTGGGCTTCATCTATGAATATTGTCCGGGCGTCAGCGATCGCGTCTCCGGCCTTGTCTCCTCTAAGCGTCTCCCAACACTTCTTCTGTCGGATGTCTTGCGATGGCAGATGGTCTGTAGAGCTCCGCAACTGCGAATGGACTTCGTCGCGTCGCGTCGCGTACAATGGATATGGTTCCGGAAACCATGGTGAAAGAAGGGGCAACATCTGTAGCACGCGAACAGCTTACCGGCAGTGTTGCTGTATTGTCAAAGCAGGCGGCCCTCGTCCTTAAGGCAACAGCTGTGGAGCATGGTACAGCCTGTACAGTGCTTTTATCTGCATTGATGGAGTGAACGGAGACTGCCAGGTCAAAAGCGAATTGGCACACGGAAGTCAACGAAATAAATACATCGCAAACCTCACACACACAACCACACAACCAACACCACAACCACAATCACAACAGCGACAATGGCTGCAATCGGCCCACAGGGCACTCTGGCTCCTCCGGTCCGTCTCGCAGGTACCACATCTCCGCTCCCCCGCTGCGTTTCCGCCAGTTCTAACGATGAACACAGACAAAATTGCCGAGTGTGAGGAGCTGAAGATGGAGAATCGCACCCTCCGCGACTCCAACGACGAGTTTCGCCAAGAGAGAGACGAGGAGGAGGAGGAGGTGGATCGCCTACGAGAGTTGAAGGAGGAGAAGGAGGCAGAGCACGCGGAGGAGATCAAGAAGGCCCGTAGCGGCACCAAGTGGGCTCGCCGCGACCGCGACGGCGCCAAGAAGAGGTTGAAGGCCCTTCGGGCTGCCTCTCTGGCTGTCGCTGCTGCTGCTGAGCGTAGCACCGCTCCGCTTCCTCGTGAGCTGGTGGAGGCGTTGGAGAAATTGGCGGTGGAGGCGGAGAAGGCGGGGTGGCCGTGATGGGGCGGTTTGCTTGTCGGGTGGAGTTCCTGTTGTGCTGTGTGAGAGAAGGTCCGTTTTTTAGGACTCTGAAATGGAAGATTTGTGCGTCTTTGGTGTGAAAACGACTTAACTTGGCCGATTTCGTTGCCTTTGATGTGCATTGCATACCCGCGAGATCTCTATTGACCGTACGCCTGAGCCATATGCGAACATCTAGTGCTACTGTCGTTGTCGCCAACCGCGGTAACAGTCGACTCTCCCGTTAACTGTAGGGAACAATATAGGGACTGGATTCGGGTAGAGCGTGCGGAGAGGCAAGTAGCAAGAGGGCGAGAAGACTTGAAACGGCGACGACTCCCTTGGAGTGATTATTGTTCACGCGAGGACAGCGGATTATGTGAAACATCGTCATGTTGATATATTGCTTTTCGAATGAGGGACTTTGGTTATTATTGAAAGTTGGACTTGGCCGGTTTGAATCTCTTTTGAGTGAATTATACACCCGCAGGATGCCATCGACCCGACGCCATAGACCCCAGATCATCACCTCAGATTGACGCCGTTGTTGCCAAGGAGAGCAACCTTCTCCTCTCCCGTTAGCTAGAGCAGGAACTAGAGGGACCATGTGGGTAGAGCATAGGAAGCGATGGTTGGGAATGAGGCGGAAGTGGAACAGTGTGAGGCGTGGAGTGACGATGATATAGTCACCATTCATTTTCACTCCTTCACTGTACATCCTTTTCAACAACCACGACCTTCAATACTTCCACGACCTTCAATCCTTCCACATCACATCACATCCTTCAACGTGTCTGGAAGCACGTACGGTACATGTATCTTGAGCATTTGTCGCTCAGTTTGTTTGATCATCGCTCAAAGATGCTGACCTCTTGTGTAGAGCGTTCGTCAGCACCCCAGTCTTGAAGCGCAGTAATGACTTTGGGATGCAGATAATTGCAGCCTGATACCGATGTTTTACCACATAAGCCAGTTGCAGATGTGGCAAGCTCCGTGTACTGCGTCCGATCCTGCGAATTGCGTAGAGCCGTTGACTGGTTCCAGTCAAGCCCAGGGCAGGCAAGCTCGAGGCAGGCAAACGTCCGCTACGGAATCCGACCACCGGATCGGTCGAGGAGGTGAAGGCACTGCAAGTCACCGTTAACATGGCTCGTCGTGCCGCAGGGATATCCACATTCGTGCCAGCGGGAACCTTTCCCACTCTGCACTCGCTCTGCAGAGTGTCGCAGCAAATCAAGTCAGGCCATCTCCTCTAACCGGAACTCTCTATGAGACTATCTTGAGGTGCTTGAAGCCCGCGTGGTGTGGAAGATGTCTTGTGATGTTGTTCACTTGAAAATTCCTTTGACGTAGAACACATGCACGCAGCAAGTCTGTTGTTCTTACGCCGTGAGCGTTTCGCTAGGTTCTCTCGTTTTCGTCGCTGTCCCTGAGCGCAAAATGCTACCCTTCTCCTGCGAGCCAGAGGTGGCGCTCAAGGGAGTAGCGCAAGCGGAGATATCAGGGCGGTAGCTGGGAAGGCGGCGGAACCAAGTTGTGGTGGTTGGAAGTCTCTCAGGGTGGAGTTTGGCTTGTGAAGAAGATTTATTCAAATCTTCCTTGGTTCAACAAGAATTTATTAATTTGCTGGTTTCATGCTGATTTCATGCTGACCGCAATGATGAGATCGTGCCCTTGCCCCCTCACAAGGTTGTTGGCCTTCCGCCTTTCTCGAGGCGATGTGCACAGCGAGTTTGATCCGTGCTGCAACGTGCCACGATCCTCTACCCTCACTCTGGTGCAATGGTACGGTCATGGCTTTGAGGGTTCATCGATACCATTCGACCAAGTTCTGTGAAAGAAAGTTCCTTCAGACGCGAGCATAAGCGTGCATAAGGAAAGCAAATCGGGTACCGCAACGGCGAGACTGCGTGAGAAAAGCGCCCAAAGCGAGTAAAGTACCGATGGGCGCACCCTTGGGCTTTCCCGCATGGTACAAACTTCGTCGAKCTCTCAGGGGCGAGGTTCGGGTGGAATTCGACTTCATCCAGTGACTCTCTCGACAAGCTTCTCTCCGGGGTTGAAGAGTAAGACATGAAAGTGCTCAACAGCATGCACGCTCTTCAAAGCACCCCAGTTCTTGAACCAGACTTTCTCGCTGACCTCGCTGAAAGTCTTTCCAACAAAATCATCGACGACTTTCCTGGCTGCAGAACTCATGTCGCCGATCTCAGAATCGGGATCAATGGGCAGAGCGAACTTGGTCCAAACAACCAGATGTACGATCCGAGGATCGAATCCGTATGGCCAGTCATTTCGTAAAATCCTGTATGTAGCTTCTGGCGATTAGGGTGGAATCCGGGAGCGGGAGATGAAAAGAAGATGAACTCACTCGCATCGTCGAAACTCATGCGTCCATCAGCATCCGCACTTTCCAACTCCCATCGCAAACGCTCTTTCAAGATAAAGTTCAAGATGCTACCATACCCCTGCTCAATATCGCTGCAGAACTCCCTGTACGCGCGCAGTTCACTCGGCACGCGCGTGAAGTCCTGAAGCCGGTTTTGGCGAATCAGCTCCTGGACCTCGGGCCACGTCTGACGACGATATAGCGCATCGGGGGTGCTGAGAACTGCTCGATCTTTGGCATTGTCAAAAGCATATTGAAGGTATGCTGGACATGTTGGAGTTTGAAGGTGTTTCGGGAGATTGGTGTTCCACCAGAGAGTATTGAGGGGCCGTGTTTGAGATGGGCGAGTTTCTGGGGGGACCACATCATTGCTGGACGTCATCGTCGTTGCTGATGTGTCGTTGCTATTGTCGTCTTCGGCAGTTATTCCGAGGTGCCGTCTTCAACACTCCTGAACGATGATGGGGAGCAGCGATGAGACGACTGCAAGGTTATGAAGCTGTACGATCCTTGTCACGCCCACCAGCCCAGCTGTAAGGTAGTCTAGGACCGAAGGTACCTACAATCGATCTTGGATGCCCCTTCCTTTGATGCTTTCACTCAATTCCCAATCAAGGCGGCGGGGCTCCGTGGGATGGCGGACCAGCAAAGAGGTGTCTGCCAACATGTCCGCGTGGTCGCGTAGGAAAAGGTTGTTTTGGCGCCGCTGCCAACCAAATTCCACGCGCATCCTTCTAACCTGTTCCTCGCAAAGCTTCCGTCAACCCTCCAACTCTATTGGCTGGTAGAGTTCGGTTGAAATGGGTGCGGGAAAGGGGCACACACCACGTTCCCCAACTTCATGGATCCGTCCGCCAGCCCGCGACACGACGCTCTTCCTCGTTGCAGTAACCTAACGGCCATCCGGGTTCGCACACTGGACGTTGCACCGATATCCTGTCCTGGCATCTTACCTGCTCTCGTTTCTTCCCGATCTTTACCTTGATCCCTGCGATACACATGCTTATTGAATGTTAATTGAAGCTGCAACCGCGACTCTCTGCACTGCTGCCGCCGGAAGGATTGCAAGCAGAAAGGAAGGCGCTTAGACTGGTTCACACCGTACACTACACTCTCTTCGACACGCACACCTTTGGGATCTCCATCCCTCACGCTCGTTCCTGCGACATCGACAGCAGCACCTGCCGCCATCTACTATACCCTCCTGCCTGCATCTGCCTCGATCCACGCGATCGGTATCGACTTCGGTTGCGTATGGTCGAGCAACATCATCGTCTGGCGTGAAGTTGGAAGTGTTTGGAAGCCGTAGATGTCGCGCCCCGGCAATGCGTTGACGCCCTTGTCGCCCTTGAGCATGAGTAGCAACGATTCCTCCTTCGTCGGTCGCTACGAGGGAGGCGCGGACGCATACAGCGCCAATCTCCCAAGCGAGGCGTACCGACCGCCCCCTTATGGCAATGCGCGTCCCGCTGGCAGCAACTCGCCGCCCTCGTCGAACCACCCCAGCGGCTCCACCGATATGTCACGTCCGTCGGCAAGTGGAAGCAGCATGCGACCTCCTTCTTCCGCCAGCTCCATGGGCATGTCCAGTGATGGGCGTATGGGACTGGGTGCGAAGCCAGCAAACCGCGACAGTGGGAGGAGTCAACAAATGCGGCCGGAAGGAGAAGATGCTCTGCAAAGACATTACGGCACGTTGAGGACCTATCTACAAGCCTCATTGCAGGACGAAAAGGGAAACATCAAACCCAACCGTGCAAGGGACAAGCTGTTGCGACTGTCCGTCACCCAGTTCATGGAGCTCAGCACGGATGTGTATGATGAGCTGATTCGCAGGGAGGACGACCGTCTACAGCGGGTGGAGAACGTCCCGCGCTTCCTCTTACCCAAACAGAACTTCCACCCGAAAAGGAACCAAGCGAGACAGAAGCTGTCCACTCTGCCCATTGAGCGCTTTCGACAACTGGCCACGGATGTGTTTTACGAGCTGGAGAGAAGAATGCCTCGATTGGGTGGAATGGGAAGGCCAAACAGCAACATGAGTGATGCAAGTGGGAGGAGTCGAGCGGCAAGCAGACCGGGGATGAGACCACCGCAAGGACAATATGGAGGCCCTTTCCCGCCCGGCGGCCCCGGTCCGCGGATGGCCTCGAATGGCCCCATGTCACCATATGGATCTGGACCGAACGGACCTCCGAGTGCGAGACGGCCGAGTGAAGCGGCAAGTCTTGGAAGACCACTACCGAAACAGTTCCAAACGCAACATGCGCAGAGTAATACTATTGTACCTAATAAGAGCRCTATGGTGGAGGACGACGACATGGACGATGATGAGGATGCATTCGGCCTGGACCATGTTGGATCGGGCTTGAGCCCCGCGCCGAGTAATACGGAGGATAGGCAGAAGATTGAGGCGCAAGCGGCTGAGATTGCAGACTTGAAGGCGAAGCTGGATGCAAGTGAGGACAAGATGTCTGCGGAAATCGAAGAGGAGAAAGGGCGGTGGTCTACCTTGCGGGAAGATTTGGAAAAGAAGAACTTGGACGCACGAGCGCTCATTGACCGACTCCAGCAGGAATTGGAAGACCTACGACTCCAAGCCTTGGATGACAACGAGGCCCGCAACAAGACTGATCAAAACCTTCTCCTTCTTCGGCAACAGCTCGACAAGCACGAAACGGAGAACGCCGATCTCCAACGAGTACAAGTCGATCTCGAACGAGTACAAGCCGATCTCCAACACGTAGAAGCCGAGCGAGATGACCTCCGCCGACAAGTGCAAGGACAACAGAGCTCAGCGGTCAGCTCCGTCGACGCGGATCGCTTGGAGCAGCTCGAAAGTGACCTTGCGAAGCAGGAAAAGATTAGCTTGGAGGTGCAAGAACAAGCCATGCTCTATCTCCGAGAGATGCGCGACCTTAGCCGCGAGAATGATCGTGCAATCGAGCAGGAGGAGAAGTTGGCCGCGAAAATCACCCTGCTGGAGAAGGAGAACAACGAGTGGAGACAACGGTACGCCAACGTCAAAGCTCAGAACAAGCATCTCCGTGCCAGCACCATGGGGCTTGGCCTGCAGACTGGGTTCGATTCGGGTGGTCTTGTGAGGCAGGAGGGCTTGATCTCCGACGGCGGACTTGTGCGGGATACGGATGTCACTCGCTTCCAGCTTTCCGTTGATGAGCTGCTGAAAGTGGCGAGGGGAAGCAGTACCGATGCCATGCTTGATAGTGTAAAGAATGTGGTCATTAGCGTGCAGGCCATCACTTCCGCTGCGGGTCGCACGGAGGACTATCCTACGCCGGCGGCTTCGCCAGGAGGAGATTCCAGCCAACCCACGACCAGCGTGTCGAAGATAAAGGCGAGAGTCACGGGAACTGCAAATTCTCTGATCACTGCTACGAAACAGCATGCCGCAAGTCATGGGCTCAGCCCGGTGGCGCTGCTCGACGCCGCAGCAAGCAATCTCACTGCCAGTGTTGTGGAACTCATCAAGGCCGTGCGAATCCGGCCGTCGAGCAAGGCGGACTTTGACGACGCAGGCTCTTTCTATGACGATCGTCTGACGCCGAATGATGAGGGTCACTTGCAGATCCCCGTACCTCAAGCGCAGCAACAACAATCGCAACCGAGTGGTTCTCCTGGCGCTGCGAAGAAGGGATGGTTCGGCTGGGCTCGTGGTGGGAATGAGGAAGAAAGCAACGCTGCGCCAAACGCCCCCGCCAACACAAACGGGACCACTCCACACGCAAGTGACGACAAACACCTCGAGGAAGACGCCGAGTATAGCGATAGCGAGTACGATCCTTACAGGTAGTACCCAAGGGAGAAACATTCGAGGACGAAGCATTGGATTGAGGGCAGTGAGCAAGAGGCGGTTTGAATGATTCTGATGATTGGCGGCGCTTCTTGCTTTCTTGAATACTCTTTTGCATCTTGAACGATTGGCTTGGAAGGTGGCGCAATGTTCTGAAATGGCGTTTTGGGTAAGAGAACTGCATGTCTCTTCGAGCCTTCACTTGGATTCGAGAGGCATACTTTGCTTCAGACTATGCTTATTGAAGCGGATCTTGTTTTATTGTCGACTACATTATATACTCTTCTGGGCGAGATTGGGTGGCGCTGCTTCGGCATAGGCTTGAGATGGTTTTGGATGCAATGAATGGAAGAAGCGGGCATGTGTGCATAGTTGAATTGAACTGAAGAGTTATTCCCGCCTTTTGAGGGCTGAGGCAATATGAGTTTCTTGTTGTCTTTTCCAACGAATGTGACTCGTTGGATGCCACTGAACGCGAAGACCGATCTTTGCACATTGCGTGACATGCAGAGGTGGTGAGGCGAGCCCAGCGGATGGCAGATGCGTATTTAGGTACGCATCCTGCCACACAGCTCGCTCTGCAAACTTTTATATAGAACGTCTTCTCAAGATAGAAATGTCGAAAGCCCACATGCTGCGGACATCTCCCAATAGCCCATCTCTCGACGGCTCTCGAATCCTGAATCTGGGATGGTACCTTACAATACGGTATTCCGCTTTCAAAAAGAAATGCGCGAAGCATCGAACACTACCCAAACCCGAACCCTTTGGCTTATCAACATTATGAATACCAGGTTGTCGGATCATGCGCAGCTCCGCATCAATGCCATCCACATTTGATGCATGAATACGAAACACCTCATGATGATGCAATGACAGCTAGCACCTCGCCGACACCTTTGAGGCAGTCAATATGAGTAGCAAAGACTGTAGTAGAAGCAGACACTGGCGGCCGGCTCCGAAGAGTGAACAGATGCAGATGCTTTGGTGGCTTTTGAGGGCAGAACTATGRGCATGCGTAGAGTCTCGTCGATAGGCTTGGGAGGGGTGCATGAAAGATGTTTGACCACCTCAAGTCGAAGTTGTTGGAAAGTCGTTCGCACGGCCTGAAAGATCAAGGGTTGGGTGCAGACGGCCCGGACATTTTGTGGGCCGCGGGCGAGAAAGGAAGGTCGTCCCTGACTGTGAAAATTGTGTGTACAGTCTCATCAATCTTGGAACCAACCAACCATACCTTACCTTATCTCTGCTGATTCGCACGTCTTTCCAATGCGTACCCATCAACTCCAGATTGGCAAATAATGCCGACGACAAACATAGCCTGGTGTCCGATGGCCGAGCCCAGGCCAAGAAGTCGATCAAAAATGCTTGTCGTGTGGGTAGATAGCAAGATAAGCAACGCGTGTTCGAACGTGGCCCCACGCGATTGTGGGCCTTGACACATGCCGGCACGAGGTACCCGTATCGACATCAACCTCTTTCAGGCAAGGCCTCCGGTCGTTTGCTATCAGGATGGGTGCGATCACGGCTTCTGGACCATTGAGAAGTCGAAGAACCCCGGCGATGTGCGCCAGCCATGGGATCCCTGGAAGTGTACTTCATGCCTGATGATATTGCCTGTGCAGATTTCCCTCAAATCTCTCTGCTTCATCATCAGAAACAGTCGTCTGTCTCCTCTCGCTCGCTCTCGAGCATCCCCGGAATAAACTTCTTCGTGAAGCCGGTTGAATACCACCGAAAGACCCACCGCACAAGTCGTTCGAAATGGCTTACGCTTCCAACCATGCGGATGTCGAAAAGCATGGAGGTTTCGTGAAAGACCAAGCCAGCAGCGAGCATAGCGACTACGAGAAGAGAGGAGGAAGCGCAAATGGGGCTGTTCCTGGAGAAAGCTTCGAGATTGGCGACAGCTGGTATGCCAAGATCCAGCGTGTTGCTGGCAAGTTGAATGTCGAGCAAAGAGGCATTGAGAGAGTGCCGGAAGATGAGCGCACCGAGCATGGATTTCGCGCGCTCCTGAATGTGGCCACCATGGTATGTTTTCGCATTGCAGAGGATCTTCCGAAGCACGGCTGATGAGATGGGCAGTGGTTGTCAGCGAACATGGTCGTATCGAGTTTCGCCATCGGCATCCTCGCCAAAAGCATATGGTTCCTGGGTGTCGCTGATGCCATGCTTGTTTGCCTCTTCTTCAACTTGATTGCCATCACTCCCGTCTGCTACTACTCGACCTTTGGACCCAAGTTCGGTCTCCGGCAGATGGTTCTCTCTCGTTTCTGGTTCGGATGGTGGGGTGTGAAGCTGAGTATGTGAATAAAGTGCTGAAGGAAGATGCTTGACTAACATCAGCTGCAGTCGCCGTATTCAATGTTCTTGCTTGCATCGGATGGTCGTCAGTGAATTCGATCGTCGGCGCTCAGCTCATCAATGCTGTCAACAGTGACGTTCCCGGATATGCCGGTATCCTCATCATCTCATTCTGCACCTTCGGCGTCTGCCTCTTCGGATACAAGATCGTCCACGCTTACGAGTTCTGGTCCTGGGTCCCGGCAGCTATCATCTTTTTGATCACTCTCGGAGTCTTTGCGCATAGCGGCGACTTCGTCAATGTCAAGATGGGCGTTGGCTCTTCTGAGATGGGCGGCGTGCTATCCTTCGGTGCTACGGTATATGGCTTCGGCACTGGATGGGCCTCGTATGCTGCAGACTACACCGTCTACCAGTCTGWTACACAGTCCCGCAAGAAGGTCTTCTTCTTCACTTGGATCGGTCTGATTGTACCCCTCCTCTTCACTGAGATGCTGGGGATTGCTATCATGAGCGCCACCGATCTCAACGGCGGCGACAACCGTTACGCAGCCGGATACCACGAGAGTAAGACTGGAGGCCTTCTCGGAGCCGTCCTCATCTACCATCTGGGCACTTTTGGCAAGTTCTGCTTGATCATCCTCGCTCTGACCATCATCGCCAACAACTGCCCCAACATCTACTCAGTTGCTTTGACAGTCCAAGTCCTCTCTCGCTACACCCAGAAGGTTCCTCGATATATCTGGACAGCAATTGCAACTGGTGTGTACATTGCGATTGCGATTCCAGGCTACAGCCACTTTGAGACCATTCTCGAGAACTTCATGAACTTCATCGGATACTGGCTCGCCATCTACGAGGGAATTTCTCTGACAGACCACTTTGTCTTCAAGCGCGGCTTCGGCGGATACAACCCTGAAGACTGGGACTCTCCTGAGAAGCTCCCTCCTGGTTTCGCAGCGATTGGGGCTTTCTGCTTCGGAGTCGCTGGAATGGTGACGGGAATGAGCCAGACCTGGTTCGTAGGGCCCATTGCGCTACACGCTGGCGCAGCACCTTATGGCGGAGATGTTGGCTTCGAGCTTGGATTTGCCTTTGCTGCGACTTCATATCTTGGCTTGAGGTATCTGGAACGAAAGCACTTTGGGCGGTAAAGAGAGCTTCTTTGCTGGATTGTATTACGATGAAACGAGCATCATGACCCTTCTCAGTGTTTCCTTCAGTGTTCGAACCCAAAACGACCACTTGATCTGTGACCTCCTCGCGTTGAGCCACCTCGCGCAATGACATGCCAGTGCGAACGCCTGCCGAGGGTTGGTGGAACGATTCACGCACGATGAAGTCGACACATTCGAAGGCTTACAGGAATGGAACGTTCTTCCGTTCGCAAACAATCGTCGCACAATCGAGGTATCTCCTGCTGCTGTGGTGGGTCATTCTAACATTGAGAAGAAGCCTTCTGCTCAAGGTCATCTGGACCGTACTTCGGCCATTGCCTTGCTGGCAGACCAAGCCCATTCCGGCTTGGACTGGACGGTCTGAAAAGGCCGCTACGTTACCCGCATCCAGCGTGGGATGTCCACCTTCACAACCGCACGGGAAGGTGCGGACATACAACCAGGAGCGAAAGGTTTGACAAGAGAGAGTCAGTTCAAAGGCCATTCCTCACTGCCATGTTTGGAAGATCAATGCACTCTAGCTGGCATTGATCAAATGCGCTTGCTACTCATCCTAAAGTAAAGACCGACTTGAGCATCCCTCTCACCGCCTCACACAAGCATAGCCAACATCAAGGACTCACACGGCTTCCCCCGCCACCCAAATCAGAAAAGTCCTCCCTTGTTTGGACTCGTGAAGATCTCGACCAAGAAAACTCGCTGGGCAGATTTCAGAAATCTCCGATAGTCCTCTTCGATGAAAGCGCACTTGCCATCCTTGTAAGTAATTCCAGTCAAACTGTTGTCTTGGCAAAACTTTCCAAAGGCATGCAGACTTTTTAAGTTGCAAATCGATTCATCCATCTTGATCGGCGAAACTCCATGGCAGTCATAAAGAGCTTTGACACACTGTTTCTTGTTGCCGATCTCTTCACAGGTCTGCTCGTCGTTGGAGCAGGCCTGGTTGKAGCATACTTTTGCCTCCGCAGGAGTACAGTCTTTGGTGCAATACACAGCACGGCCGGCATATCCTCCAATCTCGAACTCTTCCTGCTTGAAGTCGCTGGGGCAATTTCCAAACAGGCTGCCACTGTCCAGCTGATATTGATTCTTGCATCGATTGTTCGCACCGATGCATAAGTTTCTGTCGGCCCTTTCGTCCAAGGTGTGATCGATGGCTCGGCGCTCGAGGTCTTTGAGCTGCATGGATTCCATGCTGAGAGCCTGCCTGACACTYCGGTGCTGCATAGCTACCTGCTTCGAAGGCAAACCAACACAGAGGATCCCAAACAAGATACAGAAAGAAGTAGCTCTGCTTCTTCGTTGTAATGCAAGTCGCTTTTCCATTCAAGTCATGGCAGATCAGCTCGGCGTTGACGGAATTTTCGTCCCCGCAGACCATTTCATCGTCGAAAGCAAAGTCGATTGAATTCTCAATGAATTCTCCGGCATAGAAGTACTCCAGGACGGCCGAGACATCCTCGTCAGCGTGCGGTTTCACCTCGCAGGTAACGTAATCACCCTTGTCGAGAGCCGAGCCGGAGATTTTCACTGCAGCTTGAACTTGAATGGTGGCGGCTAGCAAACCGCCGCAGAGAAGTTGCAGGTAAAGCATCCTGAGAATCGAAGAGTTGGCGATGAGTAGGATTACAGTTGCTCGCCCCTCTGTAGTGCTATATGTAGATGAGAGGTAGCACATCGCCACTGAGCCACCACCGCCAAAGGCAACGCATAGGAAAGCCCGGCCGTGTATAGTATCCATGGGGAACGGAGCAAAGCCGATAAGCCTGGGTCACATCTTACCGGATCAGAGGATCAACGATGCTGTGGAACCTGGGCGTCAGTGATGGGCTTGGACATGAAGACGGAATAGGCAGCACGCTGCACCCTCACATTTGTCCCAGTGATGAATACATCGAAGCTATCGACCCAGAATCGACGATCAATCGACGCGGAAGCTCCGCAGTGTAGGAGATACGCGGCGTTGGCCAGCAACCCGGYCGTAAGCCGCAGTCAAAGTCTGAACACGAGGGCAAGTCGTTGGTCCAACGCCTCCGGCACTATGCTCTTTGCCCGGAACATGCGTCGTGCAGATTCAGCGGGAAAGAGTTCGACGAGTTCTGTCTGAACATACAGAACGAGCAGTACTTGCCCGGTCAGGTTCCCTGAGAAGTGGTGGGTGTGTAAGGGGTGGTGGTATTATACCTAAAAGTTTCACGCTATGGTGATGGGAAAGTGCAGCAAAGAGCCAAGAGAGGAGCGAATCATCGTGGTTTCATGATCGAATTCTGACGATCTAAGGTACCACAAGTATCGTTGTGAAGATATGAAGACGCAGCGTCATAGACGACAGATGGTTGTGAACTCTGACAACCCTGTCACCTTGTCCAGCAGCCCAATCTTGGCTTTGACCACTTTCACCGCTCTCCTGCCAGCCACAATCATGTATCAACACTGCCGCTTGCAGTGTCTGTCGTGGGGTCTCGTTGTTGCGTCTGGCTTGTTCAGAGGTGGGGCAACTATGGCAGCAGAGCAAAAATGAGTCAGCAGATGCAAGATAGGTAATGGTTGAAGGTAGGAAAGGAGGAGCAGAAGCTGGTCAGATATCTGTTCTTTTACGGATGTTCATCAGCGCTGGAAGGCTACTCCGACCATGCCAAGAGCAACCACGGACGGGCTGCTTCAAGGAGGCTGAATGCGCCCCGCTCAGGATGAATGTGTACGTTATCATCATTCGCTCGCTGGTTGGTGAAGCTAGGACAAGAAGGAGGATGAAACATACCCAAGTACCGATGAGTTTCCGTGCAGACCATGGACGAAGATCAACGACTTTGAGATCTGGTGTGATTGCGAACTGAAGGTGCGAGTTGAATCGTGTGCGGTTCGAGACTGTTTACTGCAAAGGCTGKCAGTAAGTTTCAAWCGATTATCCGTGTAGGTATGCTTTGCTGTGATCACTTCATCAGACCGCACTAAGAATGTATTTATTATCAAGTGACATGAGCTGAGTTTTCACACCAACCATCGCAAGAATGTCAAGCAGGCCGAGTGTGTGATCTCCGATCTTATGCCACTTATCTTCAAAGCACAAGCTTCCTCATCACGAGAGCTTTCCAAGGGGGAAGAGGAGGGAGATATGAGTCGTACCAGCGGAGGGAGGTCTGAGAAGAGGCGGGGCGTTTGCCGAATCGTAGGTGATGCAGTCTTGGAGCTGCCCAGGGCGGTCTGCAGTGTTGAACTAGTGCGGTCCATCAGCATGTYCGTGTCAGCAATGTGCTGCTGTACGTCGTTCTTTTATTGGAACTCTAGAGCAACCTTGATCAGGCAGCTTCGAAGAGTGCAAAAGCCGGCGCCCGCAGCTGAGTTGGATGTGTTCTCATCATCAGAGCGTGGGATGCTTTGCGGACAAGGAAAGGTGCTGGTCTGACTTTCAATGCGAGACATTCAATGAGTTGAAGCGCGATGAGGGAGGATGAATGAATGCTGCTGGATCGATAGTCAGTGGTTGACGATTGTCGTTGCAAGGTGGAAGAGGAAGAGGCGCTTGCCGATGGGGGTGATTATGGTTGATTGATGGAGAATGCCTACCTAGGTATGATTGATTGACGAAAACAAGTGCCGAAACGGGATCGCCCTCACTGGCAGCACTGACGTAGCTAGCTCAGCGAAATGGAATGGATTTTGAACGATAGATTACCTGCCTCACTTCTGCGCTTCTAATTACAACCACATCGCACAACCTCTCCCTGCGACGACGACGACCATCACCACCACCACCACCACAACAACAGCAAAAACAACAGCAATAACAACAGCAGCAGCATCGTGAGTAGCTCCCCTTGATGCCTACAAGCCTGAGCACTCCTGACTGACCCTCGCTGCACACAGAATGGCTCAATCAAATGAGCCTACCCCGGAGTGGCCGTCGCCGCCACCATCGCCGCCCTCCCCTCCCATTCGGCGGTGAGCGGCATTGGCCGCAAGATCGAGTTTGCCCTCCGTAAGTGATGACGCCCCCGCCATCTCGCAACCATCTCTGACCTTTGCGCTTCAGACAGCACCGCCACCACCAGAGTGACGGCAGAGAGGAAGATGACAGCAAGGGACGAAGAGCGGTATGTCATCTTTTTCCCCAAACACAGCGCTAAACTGACATTCGCAGTGTGTCGGCACCACGCTCGGCGTGTTTTTGGTCTTCTCTTAGGAAAAAATAGATACCATCAACCGGCCCTTGCGGCATTCACCGAGTCATCGTTCACAAGAGGTCTCCTGTGCAATTGAAATGTACTTACTTGTAGGAGAGCAATCTTTCTGCTGCTGCTGTCTCCGTGGGCGTACGACGTCCACCAAGCTGCGCATGAAACGGCGCGGTTGTGCAATCAGCGGTCCTCGACTAACCTGCGTGCTCCCCGCGATAGACTCTCCACAACCAGCAAATATACAAGGCTCTGCACAAGTACATTAGAGCCTTGACTCAATGCCTTTGCAACGAGATGTACCAAGACGTTGAGTGTCGCTAATTGCGCAGGCAGCGATGGGCTGGGGGTAAGCATCTTACGCCAAGATTACCACCAATCCACACAATCGGTACGCCTTACGAATATGCTTATTCTCGAGACATCTCTGGACAAGCGCACACTACGCGGCTGGTCCTCAGAATCCCATGCGGTTGTCGTGCTCGAACGTCCCGCAAGGCTTCGATATCGTCAAGAACGACGCCTTGACACTCTACAGCTCAGCGCAGCCCGTATCTCACGATAAGAACGCTGCGGAAGCTTCTTTCCATGCTGTYAGGTCGCCCTCCAGGCGAGAACTGCTGGTTGAATCTCTCGTGAAACTTGCACTGCCCTGCGGCTACTGAGCCAAGCATGCCGCTGCTGTCTTTTGGCTTTCAARAGGACAGCTGCCACAATAAGAGCGTCTCTATCCAGCACAGCTCACATCGGGTAAGCTGCTAGTTCAACCCTAATGGGGCGCAACATTCACTCACCGCTGCGGACGTGAAGTCAAGCAACAAGGGCAGACGCTTGTGGCTTGGCCACGAGGCAAGCGGTAGATCAGTGGAGTTTTGCATTCAACGGACCGAGAACGGCCGACTGACTCGCGACAACCGCCCGACGCCGGAGTAGTCACTCACGCCCTGCAACAAACTGCTTATCACGCTCGTTTCCCAACGCTCAGATGCTTGCAGGACGTAGCAGAGTCTCAGGAAGACTGCCCATGATCATCTCCTGCCTCCACGACAATGGCCATTTCGAAGCGGCGTGAGAGGAAGCTGCCAGTGCAGCAGTTGTCCATTCTGGGTAAGTGAGTGGTTGTACCAAGGACGCCTCTGCCCTGTTCATTCTCCGGTACGCTTCTACTGGAAGAAGGCCTTATTTGCTGACATGGTTCTCTCCAGCAATATGCCGTTTCGCCGAACCTATATCKAGCACTTCGCTTTACCCGTACCTGCCAGAAATGGTCGAGTCCTTCCAAATCCCTCAAAACGAAGTGGGGAAGTGGGCTGGAGTTTGTGCAGCAGTCTTTAGCCTCTGTCAGGCTCTGATGGGCATACCATGGGGAAGATTCTCCGACTCGTATGGACGCAAGCCTGCCATCTTGCTGGGACTCACCAGCACCATGCTTACGACACTGCTATGGGGTTTCAGTAAAGGTCTGCCCATGGCCATCATTGCAAGAGCTCTGGCCGGTGCTGGCAACGGAAACGTAGGCATTTTGAGGACAAGTGTGGCAGAGATGGTTCCGTGGAAGGAGCTTCAGCCCAGGGCATTCTCCATCATGCCCCTGGTATGGAACGTTGGGAGCATTTTGGGACCTTCTATCGGAGGTGCCTTGGCCAACCCATTCAACGTGAAGCCCGGAGAGCAGCGTGCTAACGCGAGCTTACTTGAGACTTTCCCATATGCTTTGCCAAATCTTGTTGGTGCGTGTTTTTTTGCTGTCGGCATAACTACAGGTATCTTGTTTCTGGAGGAAACTCTGGAAGGCGCTGGACCTGATAAGCGAAAGGATTACGGTCTCATGCTTGGAAAGAAGCTTGCTGGTGGTTTCAAGTACATGTTCGGCACCTTCAAGCGCATGATTGGATTGCAGGGCAACGCAGCCAAATCCGAACCTCACACCAACGGTGAGACGGAGCCTTTGCTCAAGCGGCGTGCAACTGAGGATGAAGAGGACAGCCTCGCTTTCGAAATCAAACCCAAACTTCCACCACCGCAATGGAGAGAAGTGCTGAACCGTCAAGCGTTCATCAACCTGGTCGTCTACGCTCTGCTGGCAATGCACGCCATGGCTTTCGACCAGCTCATCCCAGTCTACGCTCAGCACGACCCAATTGGAACTCCAAATTCAACACCTTACAGTCCACCTCTCAAATTCGCAGGAGGATTCGGCTTGAATTCTTACCAGATCGGACTGATGTCAACGTGCTACGGCGTTGCGGGAATCTTCGTCCAATTCTTCATCTTCCCACCTCTGTGTCGAAAATTTGGAGTGCTCTACCTGTTGAAAATAGCAGCCTGCATCTTCCCAATCTTGTACATCCTGACGCCTTTTACAGCGCTGCTTCCCACGACGGCATGGCAGGTAGGATGCATGTTCACCATCATGGCGCTCAAATGCCTTTGTGGCATCTTTGCATTTCCTTGCAGTACGATTCTGCTGACGAACAGTGCTACGAGCTTGAGGACGCTTGGTACTCTGAACGGAATCGCCACCTCTGTCTCTGCGGTTGGAAGAGCTGTAGGTCCGGCTCTGGCAGGACTGATCTATTCTGCTGGCGTCAAGAGAGGCTATGTGATTGCTCCTTGGTGGTTTCTGGCCGGCGTTGCTATCATTGCACTAATTCCAATCTGGTGGTTGGTGGAAGGCGAGGGCTTTGGCGGGGATGGAGAAGTGAGCGACGAGGAAGACGACGACACCGAGATTGAGGACCATCTTCAAGTCGCGGCTCTCGAAGGAGAAGCGCAGGCCATGGGCAAGGCTGGGCCTGCTACACTTCCAGTTGGTGACGACGAAGAACATGAAGAGCATGCGTATGGTGGTCTTGCACCTCTAAGCCGCACGAACACTCAAAATTCAGTCTTCTCCAACGATCCGGATCCTGCAACCGGGGGGAGTCGTGGACACAGCAGAAGGCCATCTGGAGCTGGAACCGACCGAAACGAGCAGCAAAACGCCGGAAAGCCAACTCTGAGCAGGAGAAGCTCCAAGAAGGTCTTGAGAAAGATGTCGATACCAATTGGGATGGGCGGGCAAGGTATCAGCCGGCGGTACAGCAGTAACCTCGGGCAGAGCTTTGGGAGTGCTGGAAGCTTTCAATGATGCTTCCCATCGTTCCTGCAAATGGCGACGAGGACGAAGCATTAGTTGGGCATTGTGAGGCGTTTGTACAGCGCGGCATTGCACTCTGACCCCGCRATATGAGGATTCATGGCATTGTGTAGAAACGACTAAATTGGCCCACGACACTGGAATGACGGAGCGACTTTATTGACCATGATGATGTTGCGGCATGTCGAAACGATCAGTATTTTTCAATGTAATGCTTCATAATGTCGCGGGTCCTTCAGGCAGGCTTTCCTTCTGTCCGCCCGTCAATCGATCGTGCGGGATTATTGGCGTCACGCAGCGGGCTGCCAAGATGTCAAATGTTGATGATTTCCAAATTGGCCCCAAACGATAGACTAGCTTTCCTTGTAGAGTTGCTGGCCAACATGAGATCCCCCCATTTCTGTAACAAGACCAACGGGTTTGCGTTGTCAAGGACTTCCAGGTTGGTTTCAAGAAATTCCACTTCCGTGATCCCAGCTCATGCAGTGCAACCACGCGCGCGGAGGAGAGCCATCACATCACACCGCCGTGATTTGTATTGTGAAAATCTTTGCCATTGTCCCTTTGCCTCAAACGACGGAGAAGACAGGTTGCTACGTTCACACACTTACTCGCGCCTTGCTACTCAAATTGGGCTTTCGTTTCAGCAGCCATAGACGTGACTCGTTGTCGACAACCCCATCGTTCGTTCCCGCATTCCTTAGCTACGATCTTTAAAGGAGCATTCTCCGAAGCGCAGTCCCCCATCGCAGGTCTAGAACGTCTCTTCAAGTCCGCTGGATTTGCCGCTGGATTTGCCAAACTGGCGAGACCAAGCATTGATCTTGAAGGCCGCGTTCGTGACGATTTGAGTCTGGAGTCCAATCCATTGCGAGCGCACTGGTGCTGAAATCGCGCGACTTGCTGCAGCGTTGGAAAGACGCTGCCAGAACCACTCTTAGCATCCAACTCCAGCATCCACATCGCCGACCAAACTCGTTGCGTGTAATACAGAGTAGCAAGACTCGCTAGCGCGCAGACTCTTGCGATTAGAGCTTCTTCAATCGATCAATCAGACAGTAACGGCACCTCCAAGGCAAGAAGTTGAAGTGTCCGAAGAATTGAGACCCACCAAAGTCGTTGGCGCAAGCTTCTGCACCAAACTTCACTTTGTCGAGCCCTCTCCTCTTCTCCAAAACATCCATCACAACCATCATCAAAGATGGCAACCACAACCCGCGACCCGAACTTCTGGAAGCGGTTCTCCGTCGCAGCGCACCAGCAAGAAGATTTCGAATTGGCAGAGGCCCGCAAGGCCACTTCCAATCGCTCGCATCAAGAGTAAATCACCCCCGAGCTTCGACATGGCGTCTGCCGCATCGACTGACAACATTGCAGACCGACTTGGCTTGACCGCGAAAACCACAAGCGCTCTCGCAGAGCTTGCATCTGCTGGRTCTTTTGGCTGTCCTTCCTGTCCATTGTGGTGGTGCTCGTGACCATCATGTGGCTGATTCAGAGTGGGATGCTGGAATTCGGAAAGGGAGACGTGCAGGTTTCTGATGGTGGAACGGATGAGTTTGGACAGGATTGATAGCGCAGCATCAAGGCAAGAAATGTGTATATGATGATGAAGGATGAGACTAACGGAACCAGACCGAAACTGACCTACACGATTGTTTGCGGCTGTACAAGAAGCGGTGTGACTTCATCGGGCTGTACAACAAGCGGGCGAATCCGATAGAACTGCATAGCAAGAAGAGAGAATACCATCAGATGCTTTGATGTTCGAAATGCTTTGGCTTTTTGTGAATACTCACTGGTAAAAGTACACTGGACCCGCTCTCCTCGATACGTTGACACCCGTTGGCCTCTCCATACTCCCAGCAAACGCCGTCTTCCATCACATTGCAGCCCATGCCGGGGTCGCCCGTGAAGATGTGCAGACACAGCAGAGCCAGAGCCAGGTGCGAGCCGCTTTGCCGTGTTTGAAACCCGGCAGCTGCTCCGACGGTATTCTGCACTCTACATCACCACACGGCCATGACTGTCTGGGCCTGCCGCGCGCAGCTCGCAGTCCTAGAAGCTCCACCATCCGATGATTCGCTTCTTTCAACCTCAAGCATCTCTTCGCCTCGCCGGGTCCGGAGTAGGGCTTCTGCTCATGCTCCTCTCATCCTTTCCACGCATCCTCAAGAACTTCTTGGTGCTCAGCTCCAGCTCTCGATCCAGCTCCGGACTCGGCTCCTTCCTGTGGATGAAGTTGCAGAATCCTCCACGCACACATCCCTCCCCGCTGTTCAGCCTACAGCAGGCTTCTCGAAAGTCCGTCACCGGGCTGAGCTCGCAGTATATCGGTCGCGCCGCATACCATCTCGAGTTCAACTCATCACATGCCTTTTGCGCCGAGTCCTCGTACTTGAATCGCGCGTACACATTTCCAATCAGATGGTCGTTGTTGTTGTCGCAGACCACCACCTCCTCCACCTCGCCGAACTTGCACATCTCGCACCAAAAGTCCTCGTAGAAGGCATCGAAGTGGTTCTGGAGCTGAGATGGGTTCATGCGCGATTTGTTGTCGTATGCTGGGTTCTGGTAAAGGTTTGGGAGGAGGATCGTCTGCGAGTATGAAGGCTTCACGTGCTTCCGCGAGCAGCGGTCGCCGTGACGGCATGCGCCGATCTTGTAGTAGAAGGAGCAGTTGACCTTGTCCTGCTCAGTTCCGAAGATGGAGGCCAAACGATAGGATTTGTCAGTCAAAGCATTTGCATATGCCATCAGCATTGGGACTTACTAGTTAGCCATGGCGGCGGAGACGACGGTGAGGGCGGTGAGGTCGAGCTGGGGATAACGCTTGTGATGAAGTCGAGAGGGTTGGTGTTGACGGTGCTGGCAGCAGTGGTGGTGGCGAGGATGAAGTGAGAAAGGTCGCCGTCGCAAGAGATGGAGATGGAGCTGGAGCAGGGCATGTGTGATGGAAACGTGAAGAACAGATCTCGGATATCTCGGCACGGTGGATCACCGGCTCGTCTCGCCAAAACTTTTGAAGGTCGATCCGGCAGGTGCAGCTTCGAGTCCGACTCACCCCACCCATTCACTCAGCACACGCACGAAATCATTTCTTCCTCCTCCGACATCTCAGCTGCTCAGACATTCATGCAGCCCCGGTAACAACGACTCCGGCGCCGAGCGCACCGCAACCATCACCGCCACCGCCATCGGACACTAACGACGCTCATACCACGGCCATGTCGACAGACAAGGATGCCGTCGCGAACGCCAGCGATGCCCTCTACATCAAAGTTTCCGCCGCTTCGACCGACAAAGACGGGATCCGGAGCATCACCTTCGCACAGGATGAGCTTCTGAAGATTGGCGAGATCGAAAGCACCCGCGACCTCATCCCGCTGATCCAATACCTCACTAACAATGGCCTCTTCCGCACCGTCCGCTGGCAGGGCAAGCTCGGATGGACCGCACGTCCTCGCGAGGCAGCAAAGCAGATCATTGCGCTGGATCGAGACGAAAAGACCATTTACGAGATCGTCGAGGAATCACACACGGCAGGAATATGGACGCGGGACATCAAGAAGAAAACGAACGTTGCCCCGAATGTCGTGGGCAGAGCTTTGACCAAGATGGAGAAGGGCAACTTGATCAAAAGCATCAAGAGTATAAAAGCGCCTGCGCAGAGGACGTACATGTTGGCGCATCTCATACCCAACGAGGATGTGACGGGAAACTCATTCTTCGACGGCGGAGATCTGGACGAGAGCTTCCGGGATGAACTGATGAACCTGATTGTGTTCTGGGTGCGCATGCAGAGCTGGGTGGAGAACGCAAAGAAAAAGAAGGTGCGGGCCAAGCCAGAGCTGGAGGAAGGAGCGAACGATGCGATTGTGATCGGAGACGATGAGAACACAGGCGGCGGCGGCGGCGGCAAGAAGCGCAAGCGGGACGAGGACAGCGATGATGAGAACGATCCGCTCAATGCTTTTGTCAAGCCCAAGTTCCATTCCACGGCCGTCACACTTGATCCGGACGCGCACTACAGCCAGCTCATCTACCGCTCCGGAACGCACTCGTATCCTACCGCCACGGCAATTCACCAATTCCTCACCTCTTCCGACGCCATCAAACCCACCAAAGCTGCCTCTCTGACCGTGCCAGAGATCCAAGGCTGCATCGACGTTCTGGTCTGGGATGACAAACTGGAGCGCATCCAGAACTCCGACGGCATTGAGTGGGGCTATCGGACGGTACGAGGTGTGACCTTCAAGCCTCCTGGTGCTACTTTCGACTTGGAGGATATGGGACGAGGCAATGCGCTGACGGATGCGCCTTGTGGAAGATGTCCCGTGTTTGACGTCTGTTCGGATGATGGCCCAATCAATGCCACAGAATGTGTGTACTTTGACCAGTGGTTGAAGGCATGAGGATCCAAAGACAGGAAGGTTATTCGAGAGAGATGGACAGGAAGATTTTGGATTTAGCGTCGGCGCTGGCGGAAAAGGATTTTGAATTTCGTTGCAATAGTGGCATGAGGAAGTACAAGAAGTCTTGTTGATGCGGATCAGCTGGAGCACTCTTCATCGAGACATTGAATACAATCACTCTTCTTGCCGGTGCAGGATCGTACTTTCCAAGTCGACGATAGGAGGGAGTAGCTAACAGGCAGCTCAGATCTGATGTGCTGGAACATCCTCAAGAACTGATGTCGACAGGATCCAAAAAATATTGCTTGCCAGCTACGAAGGATAGCGACAACATCCTCGCTGTGGGATCAGCGACGAAGCACTGCTATCAACGGCCGGTGGAGTCGAAGGGTGCCGCCCTACCGGGAGTATTTCAAGATTCTGTGCTTTCTGCAATGACGACGACACGAGTTGGAAGATAAGCTTCAACAAGACCTTCGACTCTCCGCGCGGCTGCTTAATTTTGTGCCTGCTCGCGGGGATTGTCGTTGATTCACTACAAGGGGAGTAGGCAGCCCTCATTTCTACCGGCCCTTGTGTATGCCATCATTGCATCAATGCTGGTCCCTAGCCTCCCTTTCGTCTCCCATGAGATGTACACGGACACGCCTTCGACACTGGATCGTGCTGTGWTGGGCTGTTCAAGCAAGCACGAATGGATGGCCACAAGCAGACGATGCGTGGGACGAACAATGTTGAAGGATGGAAGAGAAGCAAGATGTCGTCCTGCGGCATCACTTGACTCCGACCAAAAAGATACAAGTCATCGAAGGCATTGCTTGCGTCGCATTTGGATGTGCTTTGTGTAATGAGCAAGGCCCGTCCCATGCAAAGTCACCCGACCAGGAGTCTACACTGAACGCGGATCGGAGAGCTGTGTTGTAGCTTACAGACGTGACCCGACCGAAAAATTTGGTGAGGGCCTGGTGGATGATCTCGGGAGCACATCGAAATAGGTTCGTCCATTTCAAGTTCGTTCATTTTCGATTTGGGAAGGACATGGTGAATGCAGCAGTGTTTCTTCGCATGCATCATTGAATGGCACATCTACTGCTGGGCTACACACATTTCTCCTCCCGGGAGCAAGTGTTCATCTACCAACAACAACAAATGCGTCCGTAACACTCCCGATAACTTGAAAGCGCACTCACCAAGTATCTTCCGGCCTGTCAATCTTTCAAATACATACTCTCCTCTGCCCTCCCCGAAACTATCCCATCGAACATGGATCGGAATACCACAGACGAAGCTGCCGCGAACAACCATATCCGCAACTACGCAATCGACCGCCACGTCGAAGTCGTCTTCACGAATGGATACAAGTACGAGGGGCAACTTGCACGTAGTAAGTACCGATCCTTGTTCAAAACTCTCGTGGTCCATTCTGACCGTTCGCAGGCTACACGTCAGGCGATCCCGTCATCCACCTTCGTGATGTAAAGGTCAGCGACACTTTGGGCGCTGTGGTCATGACACACGTCCGCTCCTCTCTATACACCGACCATTCCGAACCAATCGAAGACATCACGATCCATTGAGATGGATGTGCGTTGAACTCTTTGCGATGACGCTTCTGCTTTGTCAGGCATTTTTATGGTACGCTTCCATCGCAATACAAGCAAGTATACAGCGAAATCTTGCGTGGATCTTGCTTCTCCCGTCTGCGAATCTTCGGTCCTGGCATACTTTGTGGTTCGTGGAACTTCCATCATTGCATCTTTTCATCCTGCATCCAAACATGCTGTGGTTCGTGGAACTTCCACCATTGCATATTTTTATCCTGCATCCAAACATGCATCGAATATCTCATCTATCCCGCTCCTTTACAGTTTTTGCTCTTTAGAATCCTAATGCTTATGACCATGGAACAAGACTCCACCAATACTCCGCCTGCAACCTTGCCGTCTCCGCCATCATTGCCGCCATGTCTCTCACAACCTGGCCTCGAAATACTTCATCCATGATTGCCTGGAAAGGAGTGAGTTGTATTGGGTTTATCTTAGTCTCTCGACGCCCTGGGAATTGATGCCAGCATGTTATTTCAGGTTGATATTTAGCCATTCCAAGAGCTACAGGTGGTTGCGTTGTGCCGGATTTCCAGCAAAGATCATGGGCAACACTATGGCTGTGATGCAGTGGCTGCGGGAAGGGTAGGAAGCAGTCAGCCGTTGGATCGAAATGTGTTGGTGCTGTCGAAAGGTCGACCGCTGTTGATTTTCGACGAACCGGTGGCACACTTCTCTTACAACGGATGTGCCGACTGTTGTTGGCCTGAGTACGTTTGTTCGGCTTCAAAGGTCGTGTCTCGCGGTGCTCCTTGTAGATTTGGGTGCTGCGTTTTGGTCCCTTTGGCGCTTTTGTTACTTCTGGTACTTCTGGTGCCCTCGCTGCTGTGGATGCTTCCGGTACGTGGTCTTGTGATGGAACTTGGCAGAAGAACTCATCATCTCGCTCGAAGCTGAGATCTCGCTCCAAGTCGTATGCAAACTTACAGAGTCTTTCGGTCTCGGAAGTCATTTTGCGGAGTATTCAGAAATGTTAGTAGGAAATGCAGGAGCTTTGTAAAGATCATGGGCAATGTTTGCCTGTTCATGTGAGCAAATCAAGCAATGATCAGTGTATGATTTGTTGTCAATTTTCATCATTTCTCTTTCTGGAACGATGCCAGACGGGATTGAATCAGAAAGCAATGCGCATTCCTCTTTACAGACGCTTTGTACACAAGATCTTTGAATATAACCTTCCAGTCGTGGTCGGCAATAACATAAACAGTTTTAGGTTCAATTGATGTTTCTGATTGCCTACTGTCAAATGAATTTCTTTGCTCTACTCAGCTTTATTTGAGGCGTGGGTTGAAAAGGCAAAAACGAGTTCGGCGTAGGCAGAGTGCTGCAATGTCATCTCGAAGTTAGAAGTGGAATACATCGAAACATAGTCTTCAGCCGCTACACAAGCAGTAACTAAGTAGACTATTGTGAGACTGACACTGGACGAGATGGCACCGCAAATCCGTAGGAAACCCGAATACTGTGTTGTAAAGCGAACAGTTTTGGCGATGTCAAAAGTAAATCGGCTAGAAATTTTGCAGTACTCCAACTGCCGGAGGACATCTTGTGAGGCACCTCTCTCCTACTGATTGATTTGTTTTTGGAGCAGTATGATGTAAGACTACAACAGTGTGTACAACAGACGCTCCACGCCTGGGGTTCCCACGTGCACATGCTAATCTCTACCTTCCGAATGCGGTAATTCTTGCGATCAGCCGACGCTTGGCCTTCTGAATATGGCGATGGTAGCGACTATGCGGATCCGGCCTACGCTTTCCTTTTCTCTACAATCATCATCCTCAATCTGCGCTGCTAATGGAAGGCGTTGCGAGTTACACAGCCGCCACGACTATCTTTAGTCTGATCCAGGTCCTTGATATCGGTATGCTCTGTCCAATGCTGAGCGTTCTAAGCGGCCCCGTTCTCGAGCAGGTGTCCGGAGATTAGCTTCGAGCAACTCTTACCAACTCTCATTGATTCCTATTAACCCCCAGAGACGAGCCGTTGCTGTCTCAACTTCTTCGCCACACCCTCGGCTTCTTACATTTCTGCCCATAAAAGGTCAGGTCAGCTCTCGCAATCATCTCTTGACTTCGTCTTATCTCACCACAACCTGCTTCGTACATGAACTTACTATCGCATCCAAAATTACAAAAGACACGCGGTTCGACGTCCATTCAACGCCAGCATGTCCGCAATTGAAAGCAGAGTCGTGCAACGAAAGGCAAACGGTGAAAAGCAAACCATGTCCGGACCAGAGAAATGGTTCACAGGCCAAGTCTACCTTGACATAGGCGATTACTACACCACAGACGACCCCAGCAACAGTCCCGTAATATCGAATGTGACCTTCACTCCGGGCGCACGAACAGCTTGGCACAAGCATGAGAAGGGACAGTTGATCAAAGTCACCGCTGGAACAGGTCAAAATACCTTCTATGCATGGGTGATGTTGTACAGATGCTGACGATTCAATGTGCAGGATGGATCTGCGATCTTGGTAGCAAGGCCAAGWGAATCAGCGAGGGAGACGTTGTTTGGTGTCCTCCCGGTGCTCATCACTGGCATGGTGCAGATAACGAGGCGATCATGTCGCATTTCGTCTTTGCCTTGGGGTGGGACGGAGTGGTTTGAGAAGGTCACGGATGAGGAGTACAAAAAGAGAGAGGAATGAGATTGTCGGAATGTTACCCTTTGATGCTGTTGTCGAGTATGCTGTATACAAGGCAGACGGCTCGATCGACGGAGCCTTCAAGTCGCCCCTCAGGTTTCCGCAAAAGCGTTGGGAGTACCGGGCTCGTCGTGGTTCATCGATGCGACTTGTATCAAGCTTCCTATCGGACATGGGGCCGATGATGACCATGCAATATTGAGACCAAGATTCGGACCGCCACACCAATTTCTGATATATCAAGTGTAGAGTGACCCTCGCTTTCAGATTCGGCAGATCTTGAGTAAGTAATATGTATGCTGGAAATGCACACGACATTCGTAAGGCTTGATTGAAGCACGCAAGGAAGGATTGAAGGTGACATACCAACGTCGCGGTCAATGCTTACTGATACAAACCAGAAAGATCATACCTGCCGACCTGATTCGTGCTGATGGAAGTGAACCAGATTGCATCGCCAGATCCATAGTTCATTGCAACGTCGACAGCTGGCGGAATATCTCTTGATATACCCGGCCCTCCTACCTTTGCGAACCCAACGGGCAGTAGAACATAGCTATACTCAAGCGTATTCGTATCCAAACGGGACAGGATGTTGTCAGTGAAAGCACTTGGCCACACTCCGCCGTATTTGTCGATGGTATCTTCGGCGCCAATAAGTAGGGTCTGATTGGTGTGGAAAGTGATGTTGTCACGGATGTCCTTTTGAGGAATCACGGCAGCTTGTTGCTCGTTGGCAAGTGTCGTGGGTGCTCTATGCTTCATCTGGCCCCGAAGTGCGCCATCGGGTCCGTATTCGAGATCGCAAGGTCCAGTCAGAGGAGTGGGCAAGTCATACAACTTGAAGCGCTCGCGGGAAGGAGCTCTAAAAGAGCTCGGCGGAAGTAAGTCAGCAGCAGCAGAGAGTAGCGCTATGAGATGGTAAATCCTGAGGAGATTCCAGATCCGTCTTTCTCGATGCTGCTTGCGGATTTCCAACCCTTGAATGACAAAGAAGAGGAAGAGAAGATACCTACATCTCACCAATGACGGGTATAACGCTGGAACTGGAGGTACTAATAACGACGGCGGAGGTTCATCTCGTTCGACAAGAGCATTTGTGAGGGGTGAGCTTGGTGGCGTCGGAAATTGGTTGGATGGATGAAGACGACTGCAATAGGAAGGATGTACGGAGTATCCATTCAAGCGTGCCATAAAAGAGTCCGTCGTTCCCGTTTGACCCACAGGCAAGCCGCATCTTGGTGTAGAATCCGGAGCAACGGGAAGTAGAAGGACCATAGTGTCGGGAGCCGTTCTTCAAGTAGTACCTGTGGGCACGAGGAAGAGAGAACTACGAACAGCATACTCGCCGTCCATCAGCTGCTCATTATTACTGTAAAGTACTCGCCCGGGCAATTTTCCGTGTAGCGAGGCAGTGGGGTGGTATCTGTGTCGTCGTGGTTGTCGAAAAGTTGGAGATTGCTACCTGGTAGACCGACACCGGACTTGGCTCCGGTCTCGCTTCCGGCGTCCGCCTCGCCGCCCAGCTCAACATCCCTGACTTTGACAAAGACTTTTCATCCACAATCCACAAATGCTTCGCTGTCTACCATGCGTTTGATAAGGTACACACGTAGCTTATATGCGTACACGTCATCATGGTTTTGGAGGTATGTGGACAATGAATTTGTCCATGTCTATGCTGCTTTCGAATCACTTCGGCCTCTCGTCGTCCTTGACTCGACAGCATCTCGGCCTCAATGCGATATCGCATGCCCTTGAAACGACGTCTGCTTCGTTCTTTGAAGACGCACTGTCGCTCGCACACCCGAGGACATTGTTTCTCTGAAGAAGCAGGATGGAATCATTGAATGGGCTGAAAAGGAGCGATTCGAACACAGCGAGCCATGTGGGTCCGACGCCTTGCGTGCTGTGTCTCTGCYACACTTCCGCTGTTGAGAGATCATGATGCCGTTTGAGCATTTCAGTGCATCCCAAGCACAACATGTCCTGCTGTTTCAAGGACTCATGATGCTATCGAGAAATCCTTCTTGTCGTGGATCCTCTATTACTTTGCAGAAAGATTTCATCAATGCAATTCCTCTGATGCATTCCAATACAATGGAAGACACACCGCAAGATCAACTTCATTGGATGCAGATTTCAAGCCTGCTTTCTGTGATGCCACCATTTTCCACTTCATTCTCCAAAAGCTTTTTTTTCCATTCATTGCGGTCCTACAACTTCCTCTCCACACCTTACATCAAATTTGACATTCTCAACCCGCAATACCTCCAACCTGAAACGCGATCACCAAGATATGTCCCGTCCACCATGATTCCCTGAAAACCCCCCATGACCCTCAGCTTCGTCCGGGAAGTCGCTTCCTAGTTCCGGGGTTGAACTTGCTTCGAGGCACGCTTCGACGATCCGACTTGAGGGTCCGTTTTGGTGTCGGGACACTTGCGGGGAGTCAATGATGCTGAGGCGATTGTAGATGATGTAAGGGCCGAGTCTGTTGGGCCATCCTCGCCGCTCTTATGTAGCTCTTCCTCGGGGTGGTACACCAACATGTACTGGGCGGCCCATCGCGCCTTACCATCGGAGGACTTTTCGACGAGACGAGTGAAAAGCTCGTTGCGGAGATCCGGACGCACATTCGTTTTGGGATCTGTGCACTGTCTCTCAATCTCTCGGAGATGAGTTGCCGGTATGTCCATGCTCCTACGATCCAGCGGAGAGGTGGTGAAGGCTGAATGCATAATCTTGACTTCGGCAAAAGAATAGTAATCGAGGTCTGACATGGTGAGCTGTTTATGTGGACCGTGTATTAACTTGGGTATTTATCTATTGSTGGATGGGTACATCGTGTATTGATTGTATGGATGGCTGGATACCGAGTGGGCCTCATCCGCAAGTCGACTCTCTCGTTGACTGACGGCTCCTATAATGTTCAAGATCTCCCCTTTCTGTTGTCCTTCTTTGTCTGATTGATGGAATCGCAGATCCGGGCCGGAACTTCAAAGATGATCTGAAAGTCGGCACCGGATTAGAAGTCACACAAAGAGTCTTGGACCAAATGTGCTTGGGGAAGGTGGTACTGTACTCAACGGGCACTTTGCAGGAATAATACTTCAGTGCTTTTCAAGAGCAGTATCTCACATACATTGTCACACATCGAACCGAAAAGAAGCCGCGGTAAAGGTCCAACTCAGCCAAGACTGTGCAAGAACAGCATTTTTTGGACAAAACTTGTGATATTTCAGTGATGAATGAATACAATTAAAGCAGCGAAGGAGCAGGCTTTAGGAAGCCACGCTGATCCCTCACCATTCATGGAATCGCAAGACCCTGCTTCGCAGTCGCAATAGCAGCAATCAAAATCGCCCTTTCGGCCATCTCCCCTGGCGGAACTCCCACATCTTGATTGACTTGATCCCAGTGTGCTGGAGGCCCACCATTGTTTACCGAACGAATACGCATCGCGGCTTGACCGACCACTCTACTGCGAGGGAAGCCGTCGGCAGGAAATCCAGCCGCCACTATTTGTTGTGTGAACACTCGATTGAATATTCTCGATCGATCATCGGGTGAGAGGGTGGGTACGTGTTCCATTATGCGGCGAAGGACGTAGCGCATTTGCCAAGTCCAGACGRGACGGGGTTGAGCAGCGGGTGGAGCTACAGGAGCAGCGGGTGGAGCTCCAGGAGCAGGCGGTGCGATCACTGGAGCGGCTACAGGTATAAGAGCGACTACAGGGATAGGAGGAGCTGGAGGTGGCACTGCGTTGTAAGGTGTGTTGAACCCCTGATTTGGCGGTGGCATATATGCTGGAGTTGGGTTGTACCCCTGGTTTTGCAGTGGCATATATCCTGGAGGTGGGTTGTACTKCTGAGGCGACTGCAAGTACGGAGCAGATAGAGTAGGCTGTAATGTGTTTGGTGGCAGATACGGCCGAAAATATGGCTGCAGTTGTTGCTGTGTGGGCGGGTATGGGAATCGCTGCACGTACGTTGATTGTGCTTGCGGGTACTGCGGCTGATATGGCTGAAACGGAGGAGATCGCCGGTACTCTCCCGGACGGTGAGTATACTGCGTTGACGGGAGTCCTTGCTGTTGTCTTGGTGGCGCTGGGGACGTAGACGAGAGGACCGGATGAAGTGGAATTGTAATAAGCGGAGAATCAGCACCTGTAGCGGTGCACCATTGGGACTGTCCATTTGTATGGTTTATGAGACGGTACATGGTCTCGCGAGTAGCGTATGATAGCTCCCGGGTGTCACCTCGTATCCGTAGCGCCATGATCCAGTCCTCAGGAATGGTATGGACGGCATTATCCAGAGCATCGAAGCGGTAGATAAAACTCCCTATGGTGTTAATATCAGAGTCTGCCGGCGGGAGAAAAGAATCAGGGTGAGCTGGTTGTGGCGGATCGACTGCGTTTGGGAGCATGCTAGTGTGTAGGCGCTGAGTCGTCATGAGCATTGGCCATGCACGCATCGTACACCATTGCGCGCGTCCGCTTCCCCTTTGATTCTCGAGGCGCATCATGCTATCCGCATTGGCTTCAGCTTCATCGCTCACCGCAAGTCTTTGTCGAACTTCTCGGAGATGCGCTTCAGGTAATCGTGCGATGCTGTCATCCAAGACCGAGGTAGTGTATATCCTGGCTGGCTCGTCGTCTTCCGAATCATCTTCGTCGTCATCTTGATATGTCGGACGCTCATCGTATTGCTCCCCAGCATCCCCGTCGTTTAGGGTTAGGGTTAGGGTTAGGGTTAGGGTTAGGGTTAGGGTTAGGGTTAGGGTTAGGGTTAGGGTTAGGGTTAGGGTTAGGGTTAGGGTTAGG